GACTGGTGTTAGCCCATCTGAAAGACATTACAGGCCACCAGCTGGACCCTCTGCAGTTTGCCTACCGGGATCGTTGAGTGACTACCCATCAGTGTTTTCAGCCAAATCAGTGAGTGCTAGTCTGTCGCTGTTCAGTTGTGTGTTAACGGCTGCCTCTGTGGATTTTCCAGCAGGAGTGCGGGAACAGGAGGGCGGCAAGCAGCAAGTCTCATGGGAGCGGAGACACGGAGCAAGAGCACTGAGAAGAAGACACGGCACGGGAGTTGGAAACGGGGATTTATTGTTGTGTACTATTTACTTCACTGTAAATAAACGCACTGCATTTTGGGGCCTCCTTCCCCACATCCCCACGGTTTGCGTGACAGCTGCAGCAGAGTACTGACTATGGCTGGGTATCGTCACTGATTTCTAGAATTGATTCGATTCCGATTCACAAGGTCCTGAATTGATTCGATCCACGATTCGATTAAATTCCATTTGAATCTGGGAAATTTTGCCTCAGACAGTCAGAAATATTATAATTCAGATCAGTACATTTACATATTTTTTTATCTATAAAAAGGAAGCTGACACTCGCAAGACTTTATCAAAGGTGTGAGCATCACAGCAGAGGCCTTTGTGTCAAAGTAGAAAAGATAAAACACAGAAAAACATGAAGGTGTTTTTTCTGGCCTGGGATTTTATAAAAATATTCTGCAGTACATCAAAAATGAAAGAAAATCATTAATCAACTTATGAACATTACCTCTGAAGTTACAGCGGTTTTATTAGAAACATGGCTAAGTATTTTGCATTTTGTATCATTTTAAAAAGTTTAAATTTGTTCAGAAGCCTATTGAACGGCAGAAATTAGGTTTTCTTTTCGGAAGTAAGTAAAAGGAAAAATAAACATCGGCCGACAGCGCTGTAAATAACTGCAGTCTTGTGCGTAACAAGCAAGCGAATAATGCAGAAAACAGATATCGGGGATAGACGGGAAACTGTTCTTGAAGTACACTGAGAAAGAGAGAGAGAGAGCTGTGCATGAAGTGTGATTTTATCCTGGTGGAAGCAAAACAGCAAAAGTCAGAGTGAATTAATGACGATGTTTATGTGAAGCGTAGTTTGGATCAGGTTCAGAGATAAAACTAACAGCTTTAGAATCAGCGCAAAAAGGGCATACACACAAAGCGCGGACCCGCCGAAACATCAGAATCAGTGAGCTGTCGGCTTTCAGCCCCGACCGTGTCCGTGCTGTCGGGTAAGAAAGGTGAAATCTCTCTGATTCTGATCCGCGGGTCCACGCTTTGTGTTTATGTCTTTGTGCAGAAGCCATGTTCCTGCTCTCATTTACTGTTTTAAAGGTTTGGTGGTTGTCAAAATTTTGTGACAAAATACATTTATATAAAAAAATCGATTCAGGATTTTAATGAATCGATATCACGTTATCCAAGCTAGAATCGATTTTAATCGATGAATCGATTATTAAAGCCCACCCCTAGTACTGGCAATCATGTATATTTAATTTAGATAATATTCTGGATATTTAGAATTGAGCTATTTGTATATATTAGAACTAGTTCTTAGATTTTGTAACATATTTTATTATTTCATTTAGTCTTTTGGATCGGACGTAACCACATGATAATTTTAATCTCATGAACCTTACAGGTGAGTTCATGCATGAACAGAAAACTCTCTATAATATCTTGAACCCCATCAAGATTGGTTTTAATTCTTCAAATCTAAAATATTTATATGAAATACAACATTTCAGAAAAAGATGACATTTTCTGAGACCAAATGTCTTCCTGCAGGAACACACACACACTCAGCAGCATGGACAGCTCCTCCTCCTTCTGCTGCTGTTCCACCGATCTGTTCATCAGGCAGGCTGTGACATCATCATCTCTTTCTTTCTCTCTCTCTCTCTCACACACACACACACACACACACACACACACACTCAGCAGAGCGGTTTTATTTCCACTTGGCTGATTTCTGGCGTCGCATCAGAGAAGAAGAGGAAGGAGGAGGCAGTAGGAGGAGGAGCTGAGAGCAGCAGAGGGAGCGTCAGGTAGCAGATGAACAAATAACCCAGTTAATCAGCAGCTTCATAACCAGCTGAATCCATAAGAAACAGGCTAACGTAGATGTGTCTAGCCTTTGAGGAGAAGGAGATGGAGTCTGAAGAGAATCTGCTGAGTGCTTACCTGCTGCTGCTGCTGCTCGGATCACACTTCACTCTGGTAACACGACCCTGCTTCTATTTATATTCTGCCGAGTGAGGACTCCCTCATGGTATCATGTATTCCGATCTGTTTTGGTGCTTTCTGGTGAATTTCAGTCACAGGCTGTAAAACCTTTTTTCTGACACACTTCCATGTTGGTGAGAAAATGGTGGTATCAATCGATCTTGATCTGCATCAAAGACCAAATCTCTGATCATCTTTAAGTCAGAATGTAAATCTGCTTTCTTTGAGATAACTCTGGGTTAATGGTTTTTAGCTACCTTCCCTTTATGCAACCATTTTTCAGTTATTAATAATTAATCCAGGTCACGTGGTTTTCAGCCCGATAATTAATTTCAGCGGATAAAGCCCGTATCATTGCCTTGCTCAGCAGCACAGGTTGATAAAATGGGAACAAATGAAGCCAGATGGAAGTGTTCTGAATGTATTTAATATGTAATGACATTTCTCACATCAGTTAATAATAAATCTGCTAATAATCCGGATTATCCGATGGATAGCAGCAGATTAGCTTCAGTGTG